CCCATGCTAGATGGTGTGAAAACTAGTCCTTCTTTCTTCAGATTGCCTCCAGTGGATAATCAAGCTCTTCTCCATTTCATTTTCCAGAATGTCTTGCTGCTGTATTATGCACAGTGGTGTGGATTCTGTGCTTCTCTTAATCACATCTTTATTCAACTTGCTCGGCTTTTGCCTCCTGACAGTTTCACTGTGGCAAGGTAAAAAGATTCTAATTTCATCTTCCCAGAATAATGTAAGATCATTGAGGTCACCATCCTAGAAAATATTTTTTTTCTCTCTACAGCTGTGCAATATAGATGTGAATGTCATCTGCATGATTTTTCTTTGAATGCATTGTTTTGTTTTCCTTTGTATATATTTGGTGGTTTTCAATCTCACTGCAGTAGTCATCCATTTCCGTTAAAATTAGTTTTTAAACTGTGCAATTAACCTTGAAACTTCCTAATTTCAGGAAGGGAATCCATAACTTTATAACTATTTGTAGCAAATAGTAATGTGCTATTTGTATGTATGTATGTATATATATATATATATTTGTTAGCAACAGCATTTTCATCACAAATCTAAAAAGGCAGCTTACATCCAATGATAAAGAAAATTAACTCTATCCAAGCAAAAATCAATTTACATAAATATCTATATATCTATATATGCACGTGTGTAATGTATATTTTTAATATATATATGTTAAAATATATTTTCCATGTAAAAAAAAAATATTGTTTTCTTTGGTGTTTTCAGGGTTATTAATGTTTCAGTGCAATTGAAACATTCTTATTAATTTATGTGATAATGATGCATAAATACTTAAAATATCTGCTCTTTCATTTGATTCTGACTGAACTTACTCCAGGAGTCAGCATGAGATGACTCATGAAAAAAAATAATTCAATTAAAAATTTGGATTTTCATCCCCTGCTTATAATTGTGGCTTTATTGCCACAAATGTGATGCTATTCCCAAGGCTACACCCATTCTCTTGCTAGACTTTGAAGTTCTGTCTTTTGCTCCATTATTTTCACAGCAGTATTACTGATATGATTGTCTGTTTTGTTCAATAATAATTTGTAATTAATAAGAATTTGATTTGTGAAAAGAAGCCCTAAAATGCAGAATAAAACAATAACAAACAGTTGAACCAAGTGTTCCTTTCTACTCACAGCTTTAGGGAAAAAAAGTTCCTTTAAGAATGTGGTTCTTCTGTGGAAGAAGCAAAATAAATTACTCTGAAAACTACTCAAGGGGACAATATTAAGAGATGTACTCGAAGAACAAATTAATGACTAAAAACGACTCGTCTCATGTTTGGCATGTCTATCTCAGAAGGAAGATGTGTACACAATGTGTGTACTGTGTACACAGTGAGCAACTGGGGTTTAATTGCTGGCTGAGAGCAGCTGCAGTATTGAATGTATTTTTGTAGAGAAAAACCACACAGATACTTGTTAAACTGAGAGTCATCATCTTGAATATTGGTAATTAATTCTGCTGACTCATATGCACAATGTATTTCTGGCAGAGCACATTTAGACTTACTTTCACAGATACTTAATTCCCTCTCCCCAATCCCTAAAATGGCATTTTACAAGTAAATGCAGATTGTTCATCTGCCTGTTCTCTTCATCAGTGTGTCTTTTCCTCACAGAATTGATGTGACTCGAAATGACCTTCCCTGGGAATTTATGACAGACCGTCTTCCAACGATTTTATTATTTCCTCATCAGAGGTAATGTAATTCTTTTCCCTGTGAATTTTTGACTTCCATTTTACTAAGCTGCAGTAGTTATGTGGTTATGTGTCTTAATAGAGAAAAAAGCCAAAGAGTAATTTATTTCCATATATGCATTCTTACTTCATGCATATTCTAATGAAAAGAAACCACCAGCAAAACAACAAAATGACCCAATCAACACTCACAGATTTACACCCTTCTCCCTCAAGGGCTCTTACAGTCAGTAAATGGGAATTCAGACTATTGGTACTGGGCAGTTACCTACCACAAAATCTTAAAACCTATGCCTTAAGTTTTGCCATTGATGTTTTAATCCAATACAGAGTTTTGTTTATATCAGTTCTGAGCCACCCCAACTTCCAACTGATCATCTCCCTATTTCTTTTCATAAGTACTTATTTAGTCTGAGTCTCTGTAATGCTCTGGACAGTCCCTGGAAGGACAGACTGAGTAGTTTTATTATTTTTGTAATGTTCCAACTGGTTTTATAAAGGTACCTCACCTCTAGTCATTGCTTTCACTCCTGCTTTTCCTCTCCAGTGTGTTTTATATTTTGCTGCATGTAGGTAATCAAGAAAATTAGGATCTGATACTATTTGTTGTACCTGTAGCACTACTAGAGTAGTTCATATATTCATTTTGGATATAAAGGTGCCTCATATTAGGGCTTTTTATGCAGCTTCTTATCACTTTGCCTTATGAGACAATTTTTGCAAATTTTGCAAATTAATTCTGTTCTCAATTTCTTTCCACCACATGCTGTTAATATTTTGTTCTGCTGTTTGTTTTAAATAGCCTTTTAACTTCTTTGATACATGCTGCGGTTTTGATCAGTAAAAATGGATGATGATGTAGGAAAACATTACCACAATATAATGAGTCAATTTTGATTTAGCGTAGACTATTTTTTGCCTAAATTATGTCATGATTCATTAATCTGGGATGGGAGCTGATACTCAGCTGAGCAACTGCTGATGGTAATTGCTAAAATAACTTGGTCCATCACCAGGAAGCTGCAGGGGAGGAAAACTCATGGTGCTTACTCTGCCAGAAATAGCTTAATCTTGATGAGTGGGAGCCTCATCTGACCGAAGCTCTTGAATTATTGATAAAATATGGTATCTGTCTTCTACCTGCTGTACAATAAGTAGTTTTAGGTAAATGAAGTATTTTTATATCCCACATGTTTATGAGGTGGATTTTACAGAAGGCATTTTTGAGGGAAGTGTAACTGGTAAGGGAGGAACTCCCCTGTTCCAGATGCACATTGTAACCAATTCAGGACATAAAGTCACACACAAGGGGACACAAGAGTTGTCCCTGTTGTACAGGAGCACCAGGAGGCTTTAGGCATTGTACCCAAATCTGGCTTTCTCGCTTTGCAGTCATTTTGGTTTGGGCTTATTCTCTGTCCTTTTTCTCACTTACGTAATTAACCCATATTTGAATGTATGCTACTTACCATTCTTCTAGTCATGAATTTGACAGCCAGAGGGAAGCAAACTAAGCTTTTCTCCTTGTTTTGATGGCTGTCTCAGGAAAGAAAATATGCTGCTGACTGGCAAAGCTGGAGCAGAACCAATAGTGATAAACTCTTAGCTGGCTTCCCAGTTGTACAGAATGAGGTGGAAGTGGCTATGCTGCAGGAGGAAGGGAAATTGTGTTATACTGGAACACGCTGAAGATGGAACTGGTTCAGAAAGAGTTCCAGTTTAGTCCTTAGAGGACAGTTTAGCCTCATATGTGTACACAGAGTCCACAAAGCACAGTAATTGTAACATTTGTTACAGCTGGAACTACTGGTTTTTAGTGGTTAGTAGTCTTGAGGAAGAAATTTGGTACTTGCTGTTCTTGGCATCTCTTGCCCTGTTGTAACAGTTTATGCTGTTGCAGAAAGTAAGGAGGCTTACCTGCTCCATGCACCAACAGAAATCAAGAGAAAAACCTTGTTTCATTTGCTTCCTTCATCACCTCTGATAAAGACAAAGCAGTAAGAGAAGAAGCAGAGATTTTTATTTTTTTTTTGACAGCAAAAGGGCATTAGTTCTGACTAAACTGACTTATGTTAAAACAAATTGCTCCCTTGCCATGGGTTTCAACTCACTAAGCTACTGCTTCCAGGAAAACTGGTTAAAAATAGTCACTTCCCATTGGGTAGCTTTATAGATCTGGACTTAAGTCTATATATATTATTAGAATTTAGGTACATTGAAATATCATCCTTCAACTTACAGATAGTAATGGCACTGTGCTCTGATTACACAGTGATTCTACTCTATGTACCTGAAGTTCATAACCCATGATCATGAATACTTCTTTTTTAAGAGTGAAATCTGTTTTCTGAGATTTAACAGACTTTTTTCTTCAAATACCAGTCTCGTGATGAGATGCTTACAGCACCCAGACCTTCATCTACAGATGAAGAGTATTCATCAAAAGAAAATGTGTGTGCTCTGTCTTTATTACATGATTTTAGGTTTCTCTTAACTGCTGTACTAACCCTACTTGATGAAAAATAAGATATGAAGTTGGAGTTGAACAGCAGATGCTTAGCTAAAATTATCCTTAACCTTCCTGAGTATTTTACTATTAACTTGTTATGTCCTTCTAGGAAGGAGCAAAGTGTGAAGTTCCCTGAAGACTTTTCAATTAACCTTCCCAATCTCCTGAAATTTATTTTACATCATTCAAGTCTTTCTTCGTCAGAGCCCTGTACCAAAGAATGTCTACATAAAGAGTCAGTTCTACAGCAAGGACACATCTCACACTTAGAGAGAGAAATTCAGAAGTTAAGATCAGAAATCAGTGCCCTTCATCAGGCCCATGACCAGCTTGAAGCACAGCTTTCTGAAGCCAGGAGAGAGGAGCAGAGACTACAGCAGCAAAAACACACACTGGAAAAGCAGCACAAGACTCTGCAGCTCCACAGTGAGCAGTTACAGGCCACATATGATCAGAAGAATCAAGAATTGTTAGAAATGGCTGAAAAGCTTCAAGAATTAGCTGATGCATCAGAAAACCTCCTTAAAGAGAATGCTTTACTGAGAATTCTGGTGGCATCACGAGGAGGAAAGCTACAGAGCAAAGATGAAATTAAGGAACCCATTCAATCTGAGAAAACACTTTCTGAAGTTAATGATATATCACTTTCAACAGCTACTGCTACTTTAGAGGAAAGAAGGATTGATAATATTGATACCATAGAGACAGAGCACAGTAGTGGAAATAGGACAGAATAATTGTTTACACAAAGTCAAATGATGCAGTATTGGGTAGGTATTTATGCAAATTTTATTGACATTCATTGTAAATAAAGACTTCTTCCCCCACATGATCTAGAAAAAGAAAAATCAAATGGAATATTTTTGTATACTTGAACAACTTATTAGATAACCCCATCTTAAGAGAAGAGGAGAACGGAAAACACTTTCTGCACTTTACTATTGCACTAACTTGGAATCATCTATCCATTTAAATGAAAGATAATGGTTTGTAGGGGCAGCAGTATGCAGCACCTCTGAATAGGGACCAGTTAGTTTTCACTGGCTTTCTCTTACAGCTGCTAGAAGGGGAATCAGATCTTAGATTTATACGTTTCCATAATTTCTGAAGTTTGCCCTTTACACTGCATTCTCTTTGCTGAATTAAAATAGATACTTCATCTGTGTAATCAGTAAACTTGAATGGACAAAGTCATCTTGCTGCAACTGTTCTGTTCTAGAACTTCAGCACTTTGTATCCCTTTTGTATACTGGTATTCTTACTGCCTGGCAACCACATGTGAGCTGTTCTCTACTGAAAACTAGAGGAAGTCTTATTGAATTAATCCTTTTTGCTTTGCTTTTAAGAGGTCTCTAATGCAGCAATTTAAGTGTACAGGTTTGACCATACATGCAGTGTCTTAAAAAGCATGTGTCAGGGTAAGAACATTATCAGCTGTACCCCATATATTGTACTCAAGAAGCAACAGCAGGAGCTTTTTGCTACTGACAATTTTTTTTTTGCTTCAAATTACAGCTTTCAATTTTAAAAAGGCAAATGTAGCACTAACAAAACAATTCAACATCTTAGTGTAGAAGAAGGGGACAACTTTTTGCCTAGGCCATTCTTGTCTTGCATATAGTTGAAATTCTCAAGCAAGCTTGCTAGGCTTTAAGTTATTCTGTATGTACAGGTACAAGAAACAAGTCTAATGCTTCCTCTGGAGCTGAATTAAGGCTAGGCAATTAAGTGTTTAAAAATATCAGTATGCAAAGGAGGCCATGTATAAAGTAATAGAAAACAGGCCAGTGACCTCTAAGCATGTGTGCCTACATGAAAAGTTTTAGAGTATATAAGCTGGCATTGGCTGCTCAGTGTTGTTCCTCTTCCCCTAAACCTTTGCAGTCCAGAACTTCCTATTTAACACCTTCTTACAGTTCCTATAGCTGAACTCCAGCACAGAGCAGGAAATGTATGTTATCCGGAAGAACTTGGCCATTGCTAGCTAAAAACTTCTACAAACTGACCAGCAATAATCCTTGCTCCTATCAACAGTAGAAAAGACTGAAACTTCTCCTGTTGTAGCACAGTTCAATCAAAAGTTATATACAAGATACATTAACTGAATTCTAGAGTTGGCTGGCTGTAGAGTAAAATGCCTTTTTGTGACATGCTGATAACATACACCCTAAGTACACAAACCAAGGTTCTGGGAAGAATTCATACTCCTTGCACTTAAGCCAGTTTTGCTAGGTAACCACTTCTACAGTTTCAGCACACAGACCTATGGAAGAGAGAAGCCTGCTCTACTGCCATTTCAAACACCTGGAAACCTTCTGGACTTTCCCTGAGGGTTTAGTATCCATCATAAGTTCCCAGGTTGGAACCCATCAAAATGGCAGTTTCCTTGCAGTAGCTACATAAAGAACTCAGTTCTAGCAGCCAAAAGCTTAACCAACATAGCTGCAGCTAAAGGAACTCTTCTTTTCTTGCAGCTCCTGTGTCTCCTTCTTCAGCATATTACTGAAGGCATATATCTCTTCAAATGAAGTACTCTGCATCAGTCCAATAAACCATTCAAAGGAGTTCTGACTTAATGGTCCACACTCAACCTAGTAGCAGAGGCAAGCTTTAACTGCAGGTTTGGTTTTGAAGGTCTGGAGCCCCATCCTTGGTAGTGTTTCAGGAGGCCCCCTGTATATTATATACAGTTGTATCATATTCCCATGTGCTATAGAACACAAAGCAAGGAGTTTCTGGCAGCCTATTTACAGTTCACAGTTGTAAAGTAGTTCACATTACAGCAGCTCCATCAAAAGGATGCTCAGCTAAACATTCACGTGACAAAAAACAGTAGTGGTCTCTTCACACCAGTATATCCCTGTGCCCATTGCCAGCAATGGACATTACACCAGGCGAGTCAGCTCCTGCCATAGAGGAATTAGGATACACAGTCAGTGCAAAGTGCAACTTCTCAGTGCATGCTGCATAAGCTGCAAACAAAGCTTATTTAATTCTCATCAGGGTGTTTTCTGATGAGCAGTGCGCACATGACCAGGTTCTTCACAGTATTGAGATGCTTCTGCTGGTTACACATGCCATGAGCATAGTCCACCTGCACGTGCTGCTCCGAGTTAGCTGTGTACTTCTGGGCCGTTCGGAGTTAGCTTCGCTTTCCTCTCCACACAGGGTCCTTTAGCAGAGTACTGCACCAGCAGAAAGGGCTCTTTGGTTTCTCCCTCACCCACAATGCTTTCCTCATCCTCAGACTGGCTGAGCTTCTGCAGCCGCAGGTAGCACCAACAGCCCAGGATCAGGGCTCCCAGAGCCGCAATAGCGATCAGGATAACAATGACAGTCACCACTCCAGTAGTGGGGCTGTGATCTGTGATAGACATGGCCAATAATTCAGGCTGTACTCTTCTTCAGGAAGATCACTATCAGTCTTGATGCATCTTCAAACTCCTGCAGGGTTAAAAATAAATAATGAACTTGTGCAGTTTTGCTGCACTCAGCAAGATTATATTTGTGGCTGGTATTGTCTACAAGGGCATGTGATCCTCTTGCACTCAGTGCTTTGTGCACAGTAATAGAATCACAGAACACGTTTTGGCTCCTGACATACTGAGATAGCATGTGGTCAGCCTTCTAAGAGGTAACAATTTTCACTATGATATATAAGACAAGACTGAAAGCTCTATGGAATTCATACAGTTCAGTACAGGGAGATTGAAGACTGTTGATACAAATGCTGTATCACAAGTGAAATCTCAAATCCATAACAAGGTAGCAATTCAGCTAAGTTTAATTTTCCTCAAGGAATCCTTCAGAAACGGTACATTTGGGTGTCTGGCCCTTTTAAAATTTTAATTCACAAACATCCTTCTTATATACTAACAATTCCAGGATTGGTAAGCTAATTGTGTTGGTAGTTGCAGTGCTAATGCATTACTGTAAGTCTGTCTATAACACTGGTCTGCTTACAAGGGCTGGGTACATGGTTATTAATTGTTTGTTCATTGAGCTGATAAATGCACATAAAATGTCTGTTGCTTTTTTTTCATAAAAAGCAGGTAGCACTGTATTTAAGACTAATGAAAGCACGATGGAAATACCATTTTAAGCTTCTGCTGCTCTTAGTGGCTTTAAAACCATAAGAGAAAGGCAGTCTGTTAGGGCTGCAGCTGGAATTGGAGGAGAGGCAGCAGCAGGAAACTGGAAGAGCTCCAAGACTTCCTTAATTTGCTGTAGTTTGAGCAGGACAAAAATACACAGGTAATGCCTTTTGCTACTTCTCCTTCCAAATTCACAACTCTATTTAAAAAACTCATGTAAGCCTTATCTTTAGTATCAGAGTTACTGTTAACAAAGCTGATAGCTTCACTTTCCTTCCTTCAACTAGGACATAAAAGGTAATGAATGAATGACTTGCTTCTTTCCTACTACCCTAGATTTTCAACAAAACACAAACTCATGGAAGATGTTAAAGCAGAGACAGTTCTACCCAGGAACATATCTTAGCTCTGTACTATAAAAATCAGGTTAAGGCTCAATACTGCCATTTCAGCTACAAAAGATGCAGTCCCTAGAGGTTCTAAGGCCAGTTTTAAGTCCACATGTGCTTTTCTCCTGACCTGTACCCACTGACTGGCAGTGAGGTAATAGGAGTATCTTCTGGCTGCCAGTCTGTTGAGGGTCATATACACCTGGTCCAGGAAAGGCTCTTCTTCACCATTACTGCTGAATCTCAGCTGCAAGTGCAGCATCTTGACACAAAAACCCCTCAGGAGAAGTCAGTCTTAATCCACCTTGTGCCAGGACCACTGGATTACAGCATTTCAACAAGAGTCAAGGCAATTACAGTGCAGGATCCTTACCAAGACAGCTCAAGCCAGAGACTAAGTTTGTTTCCTGATGTCTCCTGGAATGACAGACCTATGTGTATCACCATTTCAGCAAGGACACCTCCACTACAGAGTTCAGCATGTGTCATTAGAGTCCAGTGTCACATAACTTACAGACACTAAACCACAGCAATCGATAGCTTCTAGTGTATTGGATACAACCAGCCAAGTTCTGCAGACCCAGTTTTGCCTAAGTAGTAAAACCAAACCTGACCACACCACACACCCTCAGCAGGGCTGTGTGCCCACTGCAGCCAGTGTATGATTTGTCATAATCACCTTGGTTCTGCAGTGCTTACTCAACACAGGGTAATCAGCTGAGGCTGATTAAGAGTGACTTTCATGTAGTTCATTTTTCCTCAGGGCATGTCTGAAGAGCAGCACTGTTTGATCCAGCCAAAACAGTACAGCATCAGCATAAATAGTTTACCTCGCTTCTCACACAGATGCTGCATGGCCACATTGAGGCCTCTTCTGCAGCTTGCACTATTGCAACTAGCAGTGACAGCTACTGTTCCTCTACAGCAGTTTGGGTCAGCAAATAGCCTTACATTAAGCAGTTACTGTCACCTAGAAAATAGTTTTTCATAGTGGAAACTATTGCAGATGGTACCCCTCTGCCAGTCTGACTGGTATATAAAGTATGAAACTGTGCACATCACCAGCCTCTCTATCACCAGGATCTTCTGGCAATCTTGCTTCAGGATGCACAAGACTGATTTATACTGAAAAGACAATTTTGAGTTCAAGTGCAACATAGTAACTTACAGATTCCTCAAAGATCTTTCTTGGCCAAATCCATAGATTTTTACTTTTAAAATTCAAAATATTTTCTATTTGATTTAGAAATCAAAGAACTTCACCTCTCAATGACAAAGTGTGGCATCATTCCTTCAGGCATATCCTGTTCCCACTCAGGGACTTGCAAGCCAGCACCCCATATAAAGTCAGGTATTAAGCATCTGTACAGATGGCACAAACAACTAGTTAATAGTGCGTGACAGTGGCTTTAGGTAGTTTGGGAGCTCTAGTGTTGTTGCTAGCTCACGCTGCTATTTTTTCTGGCTTTAGGTCACTGTACAGCTAGAGCTAAAGCTCTCCTGCAGCTTTAGTTCTACCCTTAGCACAGTACATTTGCATGTTGTAACTATATCAGTAAGAACTTCCAAAGAAGCCTTGGGATTGTGGTGTTTTCTGGACACACAACTCCAACCTTGCTGTTCTTTCCACGAGCAACTAATTGGAATCCAGATTAAGCTGTCTCTGTATTCCCCTTCTTGATAGGGAAAATACTGCATTCTGTAGATCCCCTTTAAATTAGTTTAAAGGCCACAAATACTTCAGACTCAACTTTCCCTTTAAAGCCTACCTGAGCTAAAAAGCCCCTATGAGCATACCAGGAGCAACACTGCCTTCATTCATCACTTTTACTGGAAGATATTAGAGGCTGTAAATTCCTGATCTTCAGAGGAATTGCCAGCACCATCCATATGTATTTGGTGGCACTTGTAGAGCTATGTCCCTGCCCACCACCCTGCTATCAAATCAAGCATCTAAGTATATTTACTCATTAGTGAGATTAGTCAGATCACTGGTGTGAACTGCAAATAGCCTATTTCAGTTCCTACAGCAATTGGGCAGTGAAAACATCAGCTAGAAACCATTTTTCCATAAGTAAGTTGCTTATTTTGTTTTTTTGCCTAATACCAGCTTGTACTCAGAAATTCATTTGTGAAGTTTTATTATCCAATTCAGAAGCTGTAAGTAAAGGACAAACAGAAAAGCAGAATTGCAGAAGGCTGCTAGGGGACAAATGTAGTTTAAGACTAGAATTATTTTCTAAACCAAGTTTTTCATTATTACAGGCACTATGCTGCTAAATTCACTATTGTTAGTGCCTGCAGGCATGTTTCACCACTACCATTCAAGCCAAAGGTATGGGAAGAGCCTTCAAAAGCAAATTTACTGTAGTTCGCCCAAATGTACTGAAGTCCTCATCAAGCAGTTATGGTCAAGGTTCAAGTATTAAGTCTTTGGGCTCTTTTTTTTTGGGGGGGGGGGGGGGCCAGGGAGGGGAGGAGGTGGGAGCTACTGTATTATAGTATACCACCTAAAGTAAGTTAAATGGGGCACAGTAAAGAAATGAGAATAAAGCTACCAGAATGACCTTCAGCTTAATTTAAAAAAAAAAATCAGTAAAAATTGTTCAGTTAAAAAGCCTCCAACAACAGCTTGTAATCAGTGTGCTTCTAATTGTGAAAAATGATTTCTCCTGTTTCTGCTAGCAAAATCCTTTTTGAGGAATGCTGCGTACTCATCACAGTAACATCTTTCTTGCCAATGGAAGACAAGGGGAGAACTCGCTGGGAAGATCAGTGCTGTACGTTTACCACAGGCACAAAAATGTGTATCCACACTACCCACAGAAAGTAAGGCCTTTACAATACAGCAGTGCTCAGTCTTCACTACTTACACATAAAAAAAGGTATCACTTATTCTTTATTAACTCCAGTTAATACTGCCTCCTTCTGATAATGCCAGGTTACCTTGCACAAGCTGGGGCTTGGCCAGAGGCTATTTTAGAAGCAGGGAGCTATTTACTAGAAGGCTTCAATGTAAATCATCTTTTCCCAACCCTTATTATAGTTTTGATGAGGAAGTAAAGAAGAAGGCTTTTCTGTGGCTAATTAGCTGTGGACAGTATTCCAAGAACTTAACATTCAGGCAACTGTTAGACATTCTAGAATGAAAGCTGTTACCTAACAGCGTTGGCTGCAACAGCAGTTAGTTCCCACATTAGGTGTAGTGGTACCTTAGACTTAATCAAGACTCACTTTTAAAGCTTTGCACCAAACCAGTCCACACAGAAGTTGGTAATTTACAGAAGGACAGCAAGGTGGAGAGATGAGAGAGTAGCAGCTTAAGATGTTTTCCAGACATGACGACAGTTACAAGAGCAGACAGACTTTCTCAGCAGCACAGCAAGTGGAGGAGGTTTATGCTCTAACTACCTGTCAGGCAAGTCAGCCAGTTAATGGAGAACTGGAAACACACTTACAGTGTTAAGAACTTGTTGACTTCAGAGGCAATTGCATGGCTGGCAAAACATCTGTCATACTCCAGATATTAATGTCAGTGTCACATACACACGGAGCTCTAATGAAAAGTCTGTCCTGACATGGTAAGAGTCACTTCTGACATTCCATTACCAGAAGTAGTATGTTGTATATATCCCCTGACATAGTTTAATTCTTGATATATTAGAATACTGAGATGCTAACATTAACTTGCTGATAAAAAAAAGGGGGTTTTATTTAGATTCAAGGTAGATCTCCAAATGTGTCATTTTGGGTTTTTTTTTAAATGGCTTTGTCTAACAGCAGCTACACAGCACCTGATATTTCTGAGACTCAAACAGTTTTTATACACAGCGCAAAGCTTTAGACAGCAAGTACCCCAGGAATCAGTCACGTACCTGCACCAAGCAGATCTGGCCAGGAGTCCTCTACGCAGTTTCTGAGTCACCTTATAAGAAAGGCGAAGGTCACACTGGTTTTGGATCTTGTCTGGCAAGTCTTCCTTCTCGATGTTCCCCTGTGGAGAGGGATCACGTTGGTCTCTAACTGCTCTGCATCCTGAGTGCCTTTAACTTTTGGCTTTCCAACGACATAATTATGTTTAACTACTGGTTCCTGGCAGAAGCTGTCAGGGAAAGATCCCTTACTGTTTCACCTACCTGCTAATCAAGGCAAGAGTCTCACAACTGGTTTCAAGTTCTTTAGGTTTATTCAAAAGCAACATCTACTAACAAATGTCTACACCTACATTTGTGTCAGGAAAAGGAGCACGAGACGGCACGGTACACTGCAGATACTCAGACGAAGGAACAAGATTCAGTTTGAACAACTTACATTACCAAAAACTCCCGGATCGTCATCATAAAGGTCGGTTTGGACATACCCTGCAGCACGTACCGAACTCATTGCATTGGGCGAGCAGGGACGAGCCTCTCCAGCCGAGAGGAACCCGGCGCCCAACCCGAACAGCCACCGACGATCCGTGAGGCATTGCCTTGTGACTGCAGCACGGCAAGGCAGCTGCAAATCACCGGCAGACGGGGACGAGCCCCGGGACAGGCGACGAGGCGGCACGGGACGCCCGGGCTGGGGGAAGCCGCCAGTCACCCACGGGGCCCACGCGAGGCCTGCGGGGCGCCCAGCACCACTCGG